TTTTGGCTTGTTTTAGATAAGCGACAACAATGGAGGAATGGAAGCCATTCTTGGGGTAGGCTGAGAGAGAGAGACAGAAAGAGAGAGAGAGAGAGAAGCGAGAGGAGTTTTTGATGGGTATTAACCCATGAGAATATTACGATATGCGGGACTTAAATTGTTAGTGAAATTCCAATTATACCCTTATCCATTTTGAGATTTCCTTTGTTGATATAAAAAGAGAGCAATAAAATTATTGTGCTAACGAGTATTATGCAATTTTTCATTTTATAAAATGAAAGAAAAAACTAAAATGATTAATATAATTCAGAAAAATATTTATAAATTTACTAATAATATATAATATCAACCATACATTTTACAGAATAATTTTTTGTTGCTAAGCATATGATAATTTAATTAGTAAATAATTAAAAAAATATCAGTATAATAAAATATTAATTTTATTACTTAGAAAATTATAAAATGAATGATACAATGCAAGTGCAACTATACAAGAATGAAGGAATCATTATACAATACAACATATTATATCGATGCATAAACCAATCAAGTATAACTGCTGCACATCTTCTTCACTTTAGCAAATATGACACAAAGAAGCATGTATTGAAAAAATGTTTGATTCCCTGCAGAAATTCTAGCATATTTGGGTCAGCAGCAGGATCATGGAGCCGATACTTTTTGTTTCTTCTTTAGTTTACCGAACAAATGGAATTCGCGCTTGTAGAAGAGCTTCGTGCAATGTCAGAGTCAGGGTTTCCAGGGCATTCAGAAGCAAACTGGCAATACCGGCATTTCCAGCGCTCCTCCTCTGGTGTGAAATTAGCTTCTCGTTCTCCTGTCCAGAACTCGAGACAACCATGAAGTTGACTCTCGACCCAGTTAGAGTCGTGCTCGAATGGAACTTCAGCCAGAATGGAATGGTCTTTCTGAAGTTCATACCTTTTCCAAAACAAAAAAAACAGAACTGATGTGAGAAAAAACTATTTAATACCATAACCAAGTCCAGTCAGCAAGGATCTTTCACGAGATGCTCAAACAGAAAAAGTATAATTTTGACATGATCCAGGCTAATCACCTATATAACAAAACACAATACTTTTATCTTCCGATGCAAGAATCTACTTCGACTAATAACTGCCAACAGCAAAGCAGTCAGAATGGGTCAGGTGAATCTAAAAGTTTGAGAGGATGTTACTTTCAAAAACATTTCAAGGCAATGTCCATTCAGACAGTTTTTGGTTCGGAGCAAACCTTTTCAGTTCCTCTGAAATAGTTGACAGATCCAGATAGGATCATCTACATGTATGCAGATATTTAACTTAAAGCAAACATCTCAGATGGCTAAATATAGTCATGATTCTTTGAATCAAATTGATTTTCTTTTGCAACTCCTCATGTTTTGAGTTTGGTCCAACCTATGCAGAGTATGTATTCGTGCCAAGACATTTACACGCATGTCCCGACGTATTCCACCACCTAAGCTACCAGTAACAAAAAGAAAATTGAAAAAAAAAGTCCCCGAAGTGTCTTCTGACCTCAAGAGCAGCTGGTTGGCAGACATAGGCAGTGAGCTCCATGTATTTCTATAATATGTAACTACCTCACCAAGAGTCTGCAGGAAATATAGAATAACAAGCATTTTAGCAGATCAAGAACCCGAGTCATCACATCTCAGAATGTTTAAATTTGATGTTTAATTCTTCATCCCATCAAGTTAGGTTGTTAATGCATGATGAGTATCAAAAGTTGGACTCAACAAGCTAATAATTTGTAGAAGATGAGTGTATTAACCTGTACAGGAAAACCTGCATCAGCGGTGGTTTCTCTTATTTCTTCGGATAACGTACTATGAGGATTCAAGGAGAAATAATCATAGAACCTTCCAGTAGGGAAGTTACCAGCAACTAGGCTGTCCCACAAAGATTTGTACAACATCAATTGAAACCTGAGAAAAGAACAGGAAAAATCACAGATTATTATATTAATTTTGCACATTGCTAATTCAAACAACATATATAAGACTGCCATGCCAGTTCTTGAAGGATTTATAAATAATCAGTCTCAGCTGCAAATAAATCAGAGATACCTTCCATTTCTTACTTGTGGTTGAGCAGGAAGTGTGTCTTGCCTACGGGTCTTTATGTCTACCAGTACCGGGCTTCTATCACTCACACTTACTGGCATCCTAATCTCGTCAATAACTCCCACTATCCATACATCTTCTGCAAAGCCTACACTGATGTTATTAAGCAAGCAAATATTATCCATCAGTGAGGAAATTAACACTTCCAAATAAGGAAAGAGAGAAAAATGCTGGACTTTCTAGTGATGAAAATATAAAGTTGTGTACACACACACAATATTTCTATTTACATTATCGACCATCAAAAGAGATCTATTCAAAGCATCGAAAGCATATTTCCTTCAGCTATTGCACTGCATAAAGCAATACGGTGGGTTAGAGAAGCTGGTCTTTCATTATCCATTTTCCAAGCTAATTACCATGATACTAAGGATTTTTCAATGAAAAAGTACCCCAAACTGTGTTAGACAAAGAATACAATTGACTAAGCATGCCTCATTGCAAAGTAATTGAGGAAGTGGTTTGCTCAACTAAACCAATTGTTTGAATATGAGATTTTAAGTCAAAAAAATGTTTGATGCACACCAGTGTGCATAAGCATATTTTGCAGCTTCTAGGCCTTATTAGATACTCTATCAGAGACGGTTTCTCCCACACAAAGCATAAAGCCCTTTCATGCCAATAAAATTACATAACTTTGACTACCAACATTTGTAGCTTTCATTACCACCAATGATGGCCAAAAGATCACCTCTTGAAAGCTACTTAAAGCACAAGTCAAAAAGAAGTTGCATATAACCAGAAATGACACAACTCACAGGGGTAGCTCACGTGTTAGACCATCAAACAATAATTGATTTGCACCCACTATGCAATTAATAAGTTTCAAAGCCCAGTTATCTTCCATTGTCTTGATTTCAACTTTAACTTTTTCAACAACCTGCCAAAAAATACAAGATGCATCCGAAATTTGTGTCATGCATAATTACTATGGAAGGTGACATCAAAATGTTCAATTCCCTGCTAGAAACATATACAAATGACAAAGACAGCGATACTTCTGAACTATAGTGAAGCATAATAGAAACATTATAAAGAAATTCTATGTGGAACAATACTTGCTTTGAGCTTTTACAACTTCTGAAAGATTTTGACTTCATTTGACTTAGTAATAACTTTGACATTCAATCTCAAAGTACCACTATACCAGAATGTATAAATAGAGGATCAGCTCAATAAGTGGTAAGAAATTATTTAATGCCATTTTTTGCTAGATTTATTAAATAATAAGTTGTAACTAGTTTTTTTTAAGAAAAAAAACAAAAAAAAAGAGCTTACACAGGGAAGAAAGAGCTCATTTATCTTATATGTAAGCAAAATTGCCCGTGAAAAAAATCCAGAATCTGAAAGCTTCCATAACATATTAAATGATAGATTGTAACCATATCTATTAAGAGAATAAGCTAGTGAAATTACTCAATTTACTGTATCTTAACAAGCTTACTTCTACATTTTAAGAGAATTTTGCTTATAGTTTAAAAAGCTCATGAAGAGACTGCATCAATTATCAAGCAACAACTAAGGCAATAAGAAATTACGGGTGGAATTAAAAGTAATGTACCTCTTTTTCAAGCTCTAAATGGCGAGCACTGCCTGCTTTCATGGCTTTGTTCACTTTTTTTCTCCCACGATCAAGGTAAAACTCCATTTGTTTTTCACACCATTCCTGATATCAATACACACGAGAAAAAGAACATGAACCAACACATTTACGACGACGCAAAAAATCAACTTGAAATTGATAGAACAAGATTTCATTCATAACTAGGAACGTCATTCAGCCAACCAAATACATCCCAAAACACACGATTCAGAATCCAAGAAGCAATCAGACCTAAGTTCAAGTTCAAATTCAAACACCCAACAGAGACTCCATACCGTGCCAGTGATATCAGTAACCATCAACCCTCTCTTCTTCCTGAAACGACGCAAGAACGACTCACTCACCCGATTCTTCTTCTTCTGCTGACTCCTTAAATTACCCGAATCCTCGATGTCCAGACCCGCACATACCGATAAGCTCCGTTTGGACAAAAGGGTAATTGACTCAATAGACCTCACGTTTTCCCGCAACTGAGAAGAAGATAAGAAGGAAGGTCGAGAAGGCGAAGCAATTGAAGGGATTACAGAGGAAGAAGATAGAAAAGAACGGGTTGCTACTAAAGCCGCTTCCAGAAGAGCCATTTCTTCTTCACTCACGATCTCGATTGGGATCTCGAGATCAGAAGTGTTTTTATTGGTGTTCTGGGTAGTTTGCAAGTTATGCAGTGACTTGGATTGCAACTCGGAGCTTGACCCGGGGGATGAGTCGGCCATGTTCGGACGATGCGGGTCCTCTGTAGAAAAATGACCGTTGAAAACGCCGCAGTAATGGCCGAGCCACGTTCTGAATTGTTTTTTCGGGAACGCGGAATTTGAAGGTCTTCGAGACCCGTTGGTGTGGTTTTGAAGTCTCTGAATTTTTTTTTTTAATCTTTGGCCGGCTTTTATATTAAACTACTTTTTACTCTTTTATTTTCTTTGTTATTTGCCTTGTTTCTTCTATCAATAATAATCAAAGACAAAATTCTTTTAGGAAGAAAAAAAAAGATTTAAAACCTAAGATAAATATAATTTTTTTTACTAATATTAAATTTTGTTAATTTAAAATTACGAATTTAAATTTTGTTAAAATATAAAATTCATCATAGATATTACTTGATATTTAAAATAGTATATAATAAAATTTAGTTTACAAATAATATTCGGATAAATTCATTTAAACTTCGATATTTTCCAATCGTTCAAACTTTATTTGATACTATATTATTTGAAATTGCACTTCTCAGTACTAGTTTAATGAATTCAAGATATTAACCTATCCTATAAAACAGGTAAACAGGGGTAATGCATGTTTTTGAGAAATTTAAGGGTTAGAGAAATTCAAAGCCAAAGACCTTGTCTCACAAAATGAACAAATCTTTCCCACCAAAACCCACAAACAACTCCATGGAGGACACATACCCCCCCAGATTTCTCTCTCTTTTCCCCCTATTTAAACCCACTATCCCCACAACATAATCCTAACATAACCAAAAACAAAACATATCAAAACTCAATCAAGATTGAAGTTAGCAACAATGGTGGTCAGAAACAGAGGAACCTTTCTGCTACTTCTGGTAGCATTTTGTTATGGGGTGACTATGGCAATGGGGCTCAGAGAAGAAAAAGATCAGGCACGGTGGAGATCACAGAGGGAAGAGATGATTAACAAAAGGAAAAAAGAGTCAAAAAGTGGTAGTGGTAGAACTGGTGAAAACTGGTTCTTATTAAGGGATTACAAGAGTATTGTCGAGACTGATGCAGGAGCGGTGAGGGTGGTGAGGACCAGGGGCGACAGCAAGAATAGGCCAATGCATATTGGTTTCGTTACCATGGAGCCCAACACCCTTTTTATCCCTCAGTATCTTGATTCCAGCTTGATTCTCTTCCTGCATAGAGGTATATACATATGCAAATAAACACACACACAAACACATATACAATCTCCTCTATTCGCATGGTATATGCTAGAATCAAGACTTCCTAAAATTAAATTTGATACAGATACTTACAACTATCTTAATTACCATTGTTACCATCAACTTCACCAGAATGTCACTCAGCATGGTAACAGTTTTTTTATAGTTAACATGATAAGAAAACATAGTTTGAATAGCTAAAAGTAATGTAGAAAAACTAATTTATATATACCGTAAAGAAGAAAAGAGAACCAAAGTCTTCTACTTACAAAGATTAAAATATGAAAATCTATAGCTAATTCGAGATTTTGTTTGCAGGGCAAGCTAGACTCGGATACATATGCAATGATGAACTGACAGAGAGGCAATTGGGTGATGGAGATGTTTACCGAATTCCGGCTGGATCGGCGTTTTACTTGGAGAACACAGGAGAAGGAAGCAGGCTGGAAATCATCAGCAGCATTGATGCATCTGATAGCTTTGGAATGGGACTCTTTCAAGTACGTTGATTTGTCTTGAACAAAGAATAACTATCAATTAGTTAACAAATACTAACATTACTGTCAATATATACGCAACAGACTTTTGATCATGTCCATACTGATTGATTGATTGATTGATTTGCAGTCTTTCTTCATTGGGGGAGGAACTTACCCAACATCTGTTCTTTCTGGCTTTGAGCCTCAAACTCTCACAACTTCATTCAATGTGAGCAAAAACATTTCATTAGTATACATGTCCATACATTTAAATCTTTTAATTTAGCTACCAGGCACCCCCCCTCCGTGACTAAGAGATTAGCAAGAAAAATTCCCATATTCCCGTCTAAAGAAATCGAAGCCTGAATCTAACCTACATATTCACTCTGATTAATCAGAAAAATCTTAAGTCTCACCTAAAGGAATCAAAACCTGGATCCCAGCTACAAATAAGACTCTTTGCTCCAGCAAAACAAACTTTTGGTTATATACGTGTTTGTGTACGCATATGCACACACGTGTGTTTATATATATATACACATACACACATTTTTAGATTACAAAAGAATAATAGATTTTTTATCGCAGGTCTCAATGGATGAAATAAGGAAAATCATGAGCAAGACCAGAAGGGGTCCATTTGTGCATGTAAATGAGAAAAGTCCAAGCACTTGGACCAAATTCTTGAAGCAAAAACAGGGAGACAGGCTGCAACACCTCAAGAGAATTGTGGAAACTCACCGAGAAGATGAGATTAGCCAGGTCCAAGAGCAACCAAAATTTTCATGGAGGAGATTACTGGGTTCAATGCTCGGACAGAAGATCAATCTAAAGACTGACAACAACAAATGCCCGCAAGCCTATAATCTCTACAGCAAGAACCCTGATTTCAGCAACAATTACGGATCCAGCATTGCCCTAGAAAGATCCGATTACAGCCCGCTCAGACACGCCGGCATCGGCGTCTACCTCGTCAATCTCACCGCGGTAATTCCCGATCTCTTCTCTGCATAAAATCACTCTGCTTATCTGCATTCCAATAATTGTTTCTTCTCGGACTTATCCAGGGAGCAATGATGGCACCTCACGTTAACCCCGTAGCGACCGAATACGGCATCGTTTTGAGAGGGACAGGCAGGATCCAGATCGTGCATCCAAACGGTACCTCCGCCATGAACGCCAAGGTCAGGCAAGGAGACGTATTCTGGATTCCAAGATACTTCGCCTTCTGCCAAATCGCATCGAACTCAGGTCCGTTTGAGTTCTTTGGCTTCACCACCTCGGCTCACCGTAACCGGCCACAGTTCCTGGTCGGAGCAAACTCGCTTCTGCATACTCTAAACGGACCGGAGCTCGCGGCGTCACTTGGCGTGAGCGAGGAGAGAGTGAAACGCGTGCTAGATGCGCAGCACGAGTCGGTGATCTTGCCGGCGCCAGCGGAAACTAGGAGTGAGGAGAAGGAGAAGAAGAAGATGATGGAGAAGTTGGCGAAGCTGATGAATGCAGGTTTTGCCAAGTTTTGATTCGGGAGAGTTATTCAATAAATAATTTTTTTTTTTTCTTTTCATATTTCCGAGTTTTTCGTCTGAATGAATCGGTGAGTTGTTTCCGAGTTGCGAATTAAATCGACGGCTCTATTTCTCTTTGTTCTTTTCTTACTCATTTTTTTAAAGAAGACATATTTGGAATAAAGTAAAAATTTTCCCATAATTTATTTAATAGTTTACACTTAATTTATAAAAAAAAATAGATTATCTTTTTAATTCTATAGTCAGCTTTGGAATTAAAATTATTTTAAAATTTAATTAATATAAAAATTATAGTCCAATAGAATTTAGAAAAAAATTATGTTGCATTTCAAGTTAATTCTATATCAAATTCATGTTAGATATTTTTTTAGAATTAAAACTATGAATGTAATTAATTACATCAAACACAAAATATATGAACTAAAATTAATTTTTACATATCATATAATTAAATATATTAATAAAATAAAATAAGATATAGTCAAAACTTTAAGTACTTTATTTCAATATTCTTTTTTGATATATTGAAATAAAGCTGCGGTTTCTTTCTGCGTAAGTAAACACTGTGTTGATGAAGAGGAATTTCAAGGACGAGAAACATGACAAATGGCAAATCAAAATCAAATTTCAGATCATTACAAATAAAAATATCCTACATGTCAATACACGTGGACAGGTGCCTACCCGTGATTGGTTGACACCATATCCAACTTATCTGAGTAAAAAAACTAGCAGACCAGGGATTGGCCAACACCTTATCTGTACAATAAACCGAAATTGACAGATAAGATATCAATGGCCAAAATCAACCTACAACACAGAGAACATGTAAAAAATAATATAATTCCACATTTCTCCTTCCCAGATCGACACACGCACTGAAATACCAACGCAAGCAGGAAGGAAGGAAAATGGCTCAAGCAATGGCTTCAATGGCGGGTTTACGTGGCAATTCACAGGCTGTTTTGGAAGGGAGTCTCCAACTCAGTGGCTCAACCCGCTTGAACGTGTCCGGCTCAAGCAGTGCCAGCGCCAGGGTGGGTTTTCCGGCTCGGACGGGACTGGCCGTTAGGGCACATCAGGTGTCGAATGAGGCGGAAACTAGTCGCCGGGCGGTGCTAGGGCTGGTGGCTGCTGGTTTAGCCACAGGCTCCTTTGTTCAGGCTGTACTGGCCGATGCCAATCCCATCAAAGTAGGCCCGCCACCACCTCCCTCTGGTGGATTGCGTAAGGATTCAACTTGCTCCTAATTTCATTTACGCGTGTAGAGACTTTAAGAATTTAGAGAGTAAAAATTGTAATATATGCGTATATATATTTTTGCAGCTGGGACTCTTAACTCCGACCAGCCAAGAGACCTTGGGCTGCCATTGAAGGACAGGTTCTATCTTCAACCTCTGACTCCGGCACAAGCCGCGGCCAGGGCGAAAGAATCGGCTAAAGAAATTGTTGGTGTGAAGAGTTTGATAGACAAGAAGGCTTGGCCTTATGTTCAAAACGACCTGCGTTTAAGAGCTGAATACCTTCGTTATGATCTCAAGACTGTGATTGATGCCAAGCCCAAGGACGAGAAGCAGGCACTCAAGGAACTCTCAGGAAAGCTCTTCAATTCCATCAGCAATGTAAGTTTCTTCTTTCTTTGCCAACATTTTTTTATAAATTATTATAACTAACATTTAAAATATAATCTTTTGAAAAAAAAAAAAACTAAACTAAACTTTTGCTTTTTAAAATGATTAATTAATCACATAATTGATCAAACCCCATTTATATTAAAATTAAAATGATTAATCACAAAGAATGTTTGGACACGATATAATTAATTATCTAATCAACAATTATACAGATAATGCTCAATAAAAATATTTTTAAAAATTGAACAGTAATAAAGTCAAATATAATTTATATTAAAGTATTTATGTTGTAATGCAATAAAGTTTCTTGCTTCTTGTTAATTACCAGCTGGATCATGCTGCAAAGGTCAAGAGCGCTCCAGAGGCTGAGAAGTACTATGCTGAGACTGTATCTAACTTGAATGATGTCCTGGCGAAGCTTGGCTAAGAGAGCATTTTCTGTACCTTAAAAATCAAAGCTGTGTTTATCCTTTTCTCTATGAGACTCTTCCTTTCACTTGCTATTTCAAGGGAATCCTAGTGGAATTGCTTTTGCTTAAATTTCTAATAAAAACATTTCTTCGATGGTACTTGTAGTAAATTATCAATTTTTTTAATTAAACTGAATGATTAAATCTATCCACCTACAAGTGTGTCTAAGTTGGTAATGAAATATGTTTGGTAATTGTATATAATACTCTCTAACAGTAAAATCCTGAATGAACCAAACCAATACGGTGCCCTCTGAAACTGTCTGAAATATGATTTAGTATCAATTACAAAAGTTAACTCGAGAATATATTATAGCTAATACACTTCGGAGACAAGTAAAATAATGACGGAGGGGGATTATTAAGAAGAGAAATAGAACGTACCGCACATTTGAAATTCACAACTTATAATATTGATTCTGGCTGCATTGACATACTGTGAGAAGTGAAGGATAGGATACCACTTCAGGTAGACGATCTGTTGCATTATAAATGGGGAACATGAAGTAGAAGGCAATCTGATGCCCATAGATTTTTTTTTTTTTTTTTTTTTTGTGTGGATCACAGTAACTAATTTTCAAATGTCATAAAAAATGTTCTTCTAAACAAACCATTTCTTGTACGTTCAGATTTTCTCTGAATCACAATGACTAATTTTTCAAATGTCACAAAAGATGTTCTTCTAAACAAACCAGTTTTTTCTATATTCAGATCAGTTCAGCATCTAAGTTGCTATAGACTAAGATGAAATACGAGCAAAATTGCAGATCCACAAGATGACTGATGATTGGCCTTCCAGAAAATCATTTGCACTCTATAGGGAATGTCAGCCGGCATCCCTGGTTCAACTAAAACATCCAAGAACTGCAAAAGATGGAAGCTTTGTCTGTGGAAATCGTAAGAAGTTATCAGGCATCTTATTTTGAAGAGATTTTGCGCATTTGATTTATTTTTTTGGGGGGAGGGGGAGAGGGTTGGTGGATGGAATATTCACTCTTTCCAGCCAATTTTTAAACTCAATTCTATCTTCCTACACCTCAGAACCCTTCCTGCCTCGATTATATCATGGTTTATCTAAACTTAAAAGTTCATATGGATGTCAGTGCCTACCTTGAAAGAACAATCACAAGTCCTTGTCACTGTCAAGCTCTGCCTTTGTTGCTGCCTTTTTTGCTTCTTCCAGAACAAAAGTCCGAAGTGATTCAACATTCTTCGGACCTGATAGTTTGCAACATATAACAAATTAAATATTGGAAAACTGACATTAAATTTAAAAGACAAGGAACATAAACAATAATAATAATTCCATCAAGTCCTACACATGAAGCATTCTATTTTTGAGAGGTAGAAAGCTTCTTCTTTTCAGCAAAAAACACAAAAAAAAAAAAAAAAAAAAACAGAAAGACAAAAATTGTCATAACAACAATAACTCTAATTTTGGGATGCACATAACCAAAAAAGCCTAATAGACAATATTTTTGCATGAAATTGAAAAGCAAGCTCCCATGGGTGAGCAAATCAAAGGCTTCTTTCAATATTTTGAGTGGAATCTGATTAATATGATAAAGCAGAAAAATCAGAACAAGCTCAAATTGACCATACCATTGAGGCATACAATTTGTGACATACTATCCACTCTGGGAGCTCCTACATACCGACTGGAAGTGTTCACATTATCTTAATCACTTCCAAGGTAGTGCATCCACATTATGTTCTTTTCTACCAACAGCACTTTGATCATTCAGTATAGGTGAAAAATAAATTACAGACTGTTATAAGTATAATACACAAAGGATTTATCTTGTACTTGTTCAACGATTCAATGTGATTTTCAACAATTGTAAAGAACAACATAAACAAAGAATATGGGTCAGATTATAATTGGGAACTCATGAAACCATCTAACATGAAAATGAAATTACATGTTATAAAGGAAATTACATCTTACCTTGATATTTTGCAACTTCTTCTCCATCATAAAACACTTTAAAAGTAGGATACGAATGAATGTCGACTTTGGAGCAAACAGGTTTGCTGGCACCGCAGTCTACTTCCCCGATCTCAATCTCATCCTCCCCCTCCATCACCTTCCCCAAGTCTTCCCATAATGAACCCAAGTTCTTACTGAAAATCCATTTTGATTTCATGATCATCAGTGCTTACAACGAAAAAAAATCCTGAGTCGAGATCTTTTGTCGGAAAAAGTTGTCAGAAATTACCAGTGCTTACACCAAGGAACACAAAATTTCACAAACCACACGGTGTCCTTCTCCTTAACCTAAGCAACAAAATTACATAAAAACAATGAATGAGGTTCTCCAATTCCTAACTATACTATTTAACATATAGTCCAAGAACTTGTTAGAATATCCCATGCCATCTGGTATGATTAATCAAATTTTTATTTAGCATAGTTTTCTGTTCCACTCCAATTTTGCTCGCATGTACATCATTGAAGAGTGATATTGCTGCAAAACCTATAGCTATATTAGATATTTCACCAAAGTAGCATATCACCCAACTCAAATCATTTCAATCAAGAGGTTAACAAAAAGATAGATAACTTAAACTACCAATTAGAAACAAGCATGCTGGCAGCCAAAAAAATTAATTGGAAGCTAGAGATGCTGTTAAGTAAAACCCTCTCGACATAATTTTATTGAATATAATTTTATCTAATCCCTCCAGAGTCAAACTGCATCAAATGGAAAGGTAACTAATAGGACATTTGAGGATCTAAGCACACTCTAAATCTCAAGCAACTTTAAATACAATTCATCAGCAGATCTACATAAGCTAATTCCAGCTAAATATACTCGATATGTACAACAGAAATCAGATTGAAGATACTTGAGACAATTGGAAGGTAAATTAGGACTTTCTGGTAAAAGATTTACCTTGTCCGAGAAAGTATCAGGAGTTAGGGTTAGTACTTCAGCTTCGCAGTGTATTGCTAAGTTTGCCAGAAGAAGAACAAGAAGAAACGAGACAAGAGCAATAAAACGGCTGCTGTTTCTCATCGCTGGTGATTTGAATTCTAAGAATTTGAGAGCTGATGGATATTAGACAGGATCTAATTCGATGATTTGAACCAGTGGAAAATACCAAAACCGCCACAGTTTGGCTTCGAGAGAAGAGATCTGGAAAAGAGAGAGAACAGAGAGTTCCCTGTTATCTAACGGCAGTTTTCCATACGGCTCAGTTTTGAGCTTTAAGCAACTTTAAAATGATGACGTGGAAAAATATAAACCATTGATTTGTTTCTGATTGTGGTGGAAATTAATCCCGTCCGTAAAATTGTCCTCTTATAAACCCCCCTTTCTTCGTTATTCGCCAGGAACTGCAACACGTAAAACCCTTTCTCTTTTTTTTTTTTAAAGTTCTTCTTCTTCCTCCAAAAAACTCTAAAAACCTCCTCTCATTCTCCCCTCTTTGGTCGTCGAGGCTCTCACTTCTTCAAAAACCCCTTCCTGCTTACTCAAGAAACCTCTCCTTCTTCCTCATTTCGCTAATCGGAGCATCACCTGGTGATCACCAAAAACAGAAGAGGTTGGAAAGAGCTGAAGAAGGTAACACCCAAAATGTCAATGTTTTCTTGCTTTCCTGCTTGTTTGATACTTTTTAAGATGGATTTTACAAATTAATCCCGAGAACAGGCACCTATTTTTACGATTAACTTAGACAGGTGCATTTCCTAATTTGTTCCGTAGTTATCTTTCTTTTTTGATGTCTTTTAGTGCTGCCTGGTCTCTTATTTTTCTGAGAAATTCCCATATATATAGCAGCCCCGTTTTTGTTTGACGCCGGCCACATATTCATTCTGTCGTTATCTGCTTTTCAAGCAAGCATGATGGTTTGTTTTGTGTATTTTTAGGCCGAGTACAATTGAGATGCATCAGTCTGATGCCATATCTAATTCATTTCCTTTTTCTTGCCTCCGTGAACACTGTTAACGTGTGATTCACCACTCTGCATTTCTTTTCTTTCTCTCTTTCGCTATGCTCGCAGCTTTTTCGCCTCAACTGCTTCTATTGTTTCATTTGGACTGTTCGAGACAATTCTTCTTCTGTTCTATTAGTCCATTTAATGCAAAATGAATATTAAAAGAGCTAAATCTAGGATACTTGTTGAGAAGGCAGATTATGTGTTTCAGGTTGCTGTGTATATGCCTTCACTGATTAATCAACATGCATGTAGACATTAGCCTCAGCATTTGTCTGTTTGAGAAGGGTTTAATGATATTGAGGCGGGTCTATTTGATGCTCTTTCATGATTCCAACAAATAAAATTGTTCTTGAAGATCATCCCCTAAGTAGTTGGTACTATTGTTATTTCTCCATTTGATCGTTTATAACATTTTTCTAAACTAGTGCTCGTAATTTCAAAAAAATTTCTACAAATTCGCATAATACCAGAGGATGATGTGGAAATGTTTTTCTAATATTTCACATCAGATGTGATGAAGAACCTTGAAAATTGTAATAAAAACCATCTTAATTTTATTGCTAATCATTTGTGAACAGAATATTTAACAATGAAACTATACTTTGTGTTCCATAAACAAATTGGGGCATTATATTAGTAATAATCGATCATCATAAATTTGCCGTCATAATCATTAATTACCATTCTTTATCAGCGGTCCAAAATTTCACCTTGATCACCCTCTATCGGAGACTACCATTTTCATTCATAAATCTCTAACGTAATTTCATCAAAAGAGCCATAGTAATCTCCACCAAAGATCTAATATTCAAACCATCTTGATGCATAGGCTTTTTAACATCATCTCACGCCACAAGATGATACTTTCTTCTGTTTCTTGTATCTCCCCATAGAAATCCATATTAAACTATTTCCAGTCTCTTGGGGACTGTCAGTAGCAAGATGTAATAAATGGAGAGGTTAGCAGTCAGGCTTTTGATAAGTGTAAGTTTTCCCCCTTTAGATAAAAGGTTTTTCTTCCATTTGACCAACCTGTTCTCAAACCTTGCTGCCACTAGCTTCCAAAGTTGCTTCATCTTTATATTTAGTTCCTAATGTAAATATTTGAGCCGATTTTGATCGTTCTTGAAATTGGTTGTGCGTACACTTGGCTGACAATTGCTTTTTCTAAGGGTTGCCTTTGTATACATTTGTTGGTTAATATTTTCTTGGTTGCCTAATATACGCATTAGGATTTTCCAAGGATCATATTTGTCTTTCTTTGGTTTGTTTTGTTGTAAGACCTATCATGTTTTCCAGAAAACCATATTTTTTGTGATTCTTCCTTGCTTCTCTATTTGATAAAGGGTTTGTGTCGAAGGTGTTTGCCAAATGCTTTTGATAGCTTGAGCTTACACGAAGTTGCAATTTGATCTTCCCTCAAAGTGGTAATTTTTACCGGAGAAGTTCTCCCAAAAGAAGTGTCGGAATAAGTAATCTCTCCCATTTGATGGTCTATAATTTGAAACCGTATGTGCTCCTCCATACCATACTAAAGTAACCATTAGTTTGATCAAGAAAACTACTGATTTCACAAATGACAGTTGACATGTGTAACAGTTCCTAAAGGGCAAATGACATTTGATCGATATATGTAGCAGCTCCAAAACTATTAATAACAATTCTTGCTTGCTGCAAGCTCGATTTTCTCCGGATGACAAATACTTAGGCATAGAATTGCTCTCAAGAAGCGCTTTGGATTATGTTGGTAAACCTCCCCCAGAGTAGTAAAAGCATAGACAAGAAAGAAGCATTGTGGGGTATTTGTTTCTCAAAGTCTTCTTCTCCATTTCGTTTTGATTTACAGAGAATCTTTCTTCTCCAATGAAAGAGAGGTCTGTGAATCACCATTGTGTATTCCTAATGAGTATGGGGCTGATTTGGATTGGGTAATATACATAAGACTTGCAATTATATCATTCTTATAGTGATTAGCGGGTCTATTTATTAGTATTTTTTTATTTTTTTATTACTACTATAATTATTTTTATTTATATAAATGTTTTAAAATTTTTATTTTGTGTTTAGTTTATTATTCAATTGACTGTTTTTTGTAAATTAAATAAAAATAAAAAATAAAAAAAGATAATACCCATTAAAATTAAACCTTGGGTCTCACTTGAAAATTTTCTTTTACACATTTCCTCAATTTCTTTTAGTAAATTTACCACCTAAACTTAATTTTATATTTTATTTAAAATATAAATTTTTTAAGTACATATTTTTTTTTATATTATCAATAAAATAGAAATATATATATTTTTATTTATTTTATTTTCCTATATAATTACTACTAGGTTTCCATGCTCTTCTCTTTCTTTTCTTTTTTTTTTTCTATTTTCTATTTCGTTTATTAGCATATTAACTAATAAAGATGAGAGCCATAAATTCATATATTTATTAATTTTCAAGTCCAAATTAAAATTAATTTTTATTCAAAGCCCAATATAGACAAATAGCCCAAACCATTTCGTCATAAACCCTAATATACCACTTCAATTTAAGCGACCTTGTCTCTTCTCGCCTTTCTCCCTAGTTCCTCTGCCAGCCGCGGAATCTGGTTCTTCTGGCAGGTAACGTCTTCACTTCTTAAATTTCGTTAATCTTTGATTTGATGTTTTTTGTAAGTCTGATTCAGTTGAAAGCAACGCGAGTGACAGATCGTATCTCCTATCTTTGATTCCATGAATTTTTTTTTTTTAATTTTTGATTTCTTACTGGTTTGATTTACTTTAATTTTTGTTTACAGGAGGCAAATCTAGATTCTCAGTATGAGGTGTGTAAACAAAACTATTATCTCCATATACTTCATATAGTTTGCGCGAGTTTATCATTTTTTTTATGTGTGTATATATATATGTGTATACATGTACAAAACAAGTCGGCAGTTTCTTCTTCATTTTTACTACTATTTGGTATTTTTAGCTAAATAGAGTTTGATTTTAGCGTATCGATTTACTGATAAGGTGCTCTTTGCTACTTGAATCTTATTCAGTTTGATGGATTCGGGGTTTTAGATATGCATACATTACATTATCGCTGTGTTTACTAGATCCAAATAATAAATGGACGACTCAAGAATGTCACTGTTTTTGCCTTTTGCTGATTGGTAGCAGCGATATGTTCAATATTTGTAGACAAATTTTCAGTATCCGTAAACTCGTCATTTGGGCTGTAACATTTCCATTTGGAATGTAGTTCTGCTGTGTATAAGTTATCAAGTAAAGGACAGTGAGTTATTAAACTCTAACCTCCTTGCCCACTGGTTTATAACATCTTGAGGTGGATTTTATGATTGCAAAAGTTGGAATCCTTGAAGTCCTTAAAGTGATGCATTTTTATATATTGGGATAATTGTTGCCCTGTATGTTTGTTCCCAGTAGCATTATTGGTTTTGACTCTTTTGGCTTCTTCCAGACTTCTGACCTTGTTTTAATATGATTTTCATGTTCTAAATCTATGTTTTGCTCATGTGCTATAGTAAGCTTCAGAGTGACGCACTGAGGGAAGCTATTTCCACTGTTGTGAATGCTTCCAAAGAGAAAAAGCGGAACTTTACTGAGACCATTGAACTCCAGATTGGGTTGAAGAACTATGATCCCCAAAAGGACAAACGTTTCAGTGGTTCTGTTAAGTTGCCACATATTCCCCGCCCAAAGATGAAGGTCTGCATGCTTGGAGATGCCCAACATGTGGAAGAGGTAATATTCTGATCTCTTTGGATGCAATGAAACTGTTCATTTGTGATCAAAGTATCCGGCATTATCCTCTCTTTGACTGTGATGAGCTCTTGTTTCCCCTTTGAACCCTTTTGATGATTCTTTTTCTGTTCGGTTTTGTAATGTTTTGTTTTGGTGTATTCTGTTCTATATTTTCTAGAATTTCTCTTTTGGTGTTTATTCACTCACAAGACTGCAATCTTGGTGGTTTGAATTTGTCATAGTTCTGAACCTTCTACCTGTTTGGTTTTTACATTTTAAAAGAATTTGTGTTAACTTGGTTTCTTGTTCATTTATCTGACAAACATTGAAGATTTAAGTTGATGTAAATGCTGCAGGCCGAGAAGATTGGTTTGGACTATATGGATGTGGAAGGCTTGAAGAAACTAAACAAGAACAAGAAACTGGTTAAGAAACTTGCCAAGAAGTATCACGCATTCTTAGCATCAGAATCAGTTATCAAGCAGATTCCCCGTCTTCTAGGCCCTGGTCTCAACAAGGCAGGCAAGTGTTTGTTTTCGGCAAGTCAGATACGAGTATATGCTCTGTATGCTGTAGCTATCGATTTTATCACTCAGATTTAACATAATTATGAAGTTTCTAGGTTACATGATTTTCTTCTCGATCTTTTTTGTTGTTTGCAAATACATGAAAAGCACCACTGGAAGCAAAATGAAGTTTCACAGTGTGCGATACAAATGGCATATTGTGAGTAAACATCGTCATCATTCTCACTTATTTGAATGAAACAGGAAAATTCCCTACCCTTGTTACTCACCAAGAATCTCTCGAGTCTAAAGTCAATGAGATCAAAGCCACAGTGAAGTTCCAGCTGAAGAAAGTTCTTTGCATGGGAGTTGCAGTCGGGAACTGTGCTATGGAAGAGAAACAGATTTTCCAGAATGTGCAGATGAGCGTCAATTTCCTTGTTTCCTTACTGAAGAAAAATTGGCAAAATGTGAGTTTCGGATACACCCATTTCCCTTGTTAAATCCTTTGTTAAATGTTTGGCGCTTTTATTTTCCTATGGAAAATTTTCTATTAAACCCTCATATCGATTCAACATGGAATGCAGGTTAGGTGCTTGTATTTGAAGAGTACCATGGGCCCATCTAACCGGGTTTTCTAAGTTCCTTCTTATCTTCAAGATATGCTGTGAGTGATCCGGTATGGCAAATTAGGGTTCGCAGAATGGTTTTCGGGGTTATATCTTTTCTTTTTGTTAAGTTGGATGGTAGAAATCTTGCAATGTTAGACTTCCACAAATCATTGTAAGGTAATTTTTAACAGATACGTACTATTTGGGAACTTTTAGATGCAAATTTTTAAAATTTTGTATGCCTTGCATTTTATAATTATTAGCTTTTCTTTACTTCTATAATCGTTCATGACTTTAAAAATTATCATGGAACAGAAATAGGGTTCCTCAAATTAATGATGTGCTTGGTTTTCCTTTTTATTTATGTGGTTAACATGATGTTCAATTCTCTAATAATACCCCTTTAAGATATCAAAAATTTGATAATCTAGACTCTTATTACTGTACATTTTTATTGTAAATATTTGTTCATGATAAGTATATAAAATAATAAAGTAGAAATAGAAATTATTTTTCTAAAAATTATTAAAAATAATATTCTAAAATTTTAAATTTTGTTGTAGTATCATGATTTTTGTTTTTGTATAATTAGTTTATGTAGTTCTTTAAATACAAAATTTAATTAAATTTGTATTTATATATATAAGGAAAATAATAATTTTAGATTTATTGTTATTAAATTAAGTATTATAAATTAATTCACAATATATTAATAAAATAATAAATTATATTTATTTAATAACATGTAAATTAATTACCTTTCAAGTATATTACAGAGAACACTCACTTTTGGACAATGGATTTTTAAGTTTTTAAGATGTTTGGGTGACAATTCCAAAAAGACTGGAAGGGGGAAAAAAAAAAAAAAAAAAAAAAAAAAAAGGAAATTGCAGTACATGTCAGCATTAATTATTATCCATTGTAGCAGGAGATAGATATTTTTTCTTCTACAAATCAAATAAATGTTCAAAAAAGAATTTAATAATTAAATTTATTATTTTAAAAAACAATATTTATTTCTCACATAACAAAAATAAAATCATTAAGCTTTTTAAATAATCATTAAATGTGTATTACTTATTAATAATATATTTAACTTGAAGAGTCATAAAACATTAATTTTAATTTTGATAATTAAATTCAAATTCGAGGGACCTCTAAAAAGATTATAAAAAAAAAAAAAAAAAAAAGTAACCAAGGAAAAGTCGTATTCTCATAATGGTACTATTCTCCAATTGCATTTATACCTCGGCAGAATAAATTCCCGGTTCGCGCTACAAAAGTAAATAATGCTTTTTATCTTCAATAAAAATTATTATCATATTCCTATTTAGCTTAATTCAAAATTTAATCTTATAAAATAAGAATAAAAATATAATACCGGCAGAATATAAATTTACTTTCACACCAACCTTCTTAAATTACATATTTTTATATTTTATTTAACGAAATATATATGAGGAAAAAAAATTTAAAAAAAAAAACAGGAGAAAGATGCAAGATTCAAATTAATAATAATAACTTTACTCAAATAAGTATTTTTTTTCATATATATATATATATATATAGAGAGAGAGAGAGAGAGAGAGATTTAACTTTTACCCACAAACAAAAATTCACAACTAGACCACTGCATATATGGTTAAAGTATATAATATAGTTAAATATTAGAAAATTAAGTCATACATACTTTATAATTAATTAAATTAGATAATACTCTAAATATTTTTACCCTAAAACTTTTTGCTTTCCTTTTTATTTCTAATTCTAGCTATGCAGATTTTGCTGCACAAGCAAAATGACCAGCAGCAGCAGTAACACAGTACAGATCTTGTAGAATAGTAGCTAGATCTATACGATCAACAACCTCATAATCATGATCAGCTTCATTGATCTGATCTCGAAGAACTCTTCCATGGCTTCTTCTCTGCAAATCATTACCCATTTCCTTGGCTGACCTCTTCTCCTTCATGGCTTTTCTTCTCTCATCATGATCTGCCATCCTTCGTCATCGTCACCATCAAAAACACATGAATGATCAGTTTACACACTCTATAAACACAAGAAAATTACACACACAGAGACAGAGAGAGATTATGAGAGTACTGTTTGGAGAAAGTGAGATGGTGGGTGAAGCCAGAAACACAGAGAGGAAGGCCATAGATGCCATGGAGGTTGGTGGTGGACTGCAGCATCTTTCGATTAATTCACAGAGAGAGAGAGAGAGAGAGAGAGAGAGAGAGAGAAGATGGGGAAAACTAAATTTAAGAGTTGGGTTGGTCTACTGGAGTTTATCGTGAATTATATATATATTGGGAAAATTTTACAAAATATATACAACAATATTGTATATATATCTATATATATATATACACACACCTGTAGATTGGTCTTTGTAATTTTTAATATCCAATTTATACACTTATTCGTTCATGAGAATAAGTGTGGTGGTAGGTATAATTAGTGTATGAAATAATGAAGTGTAAATAAAAACATATTTCTGAAAAATATTTCGAAATAATTCTGTTTGTAAACTTTATCTTTATCCTCACAATTATTTTCCCTTACATATATATATATATATATATGTCTGAACTTATTTTAATTTTATTAATAAAATTATAAAATATTTTTTAATATAATAAATAGAATTTTCCTAAATGAAGAATAAAGAATGTTTCAAATAAATTATTAATTTGTGTCAAGATAGTCTCATCTCTCTTTCTCCCCATATAATAATAAAGCATTAAATA